CGCCCCCATTCCCCCCTGGCCCCCTGCCCCCGGGGCCTCGAGGGGGAAGAGGCAGCGGTCCGGGACGGAGCCGGGGTGACCAGACTCAAGAGCCCCCCTCGACACCCCCCATCGCCCGCGCTGCCCGTCTGGGAGCGCGGAGTTCGGAGCGACCCGGAGCGCTGCGGATACAAAGGCGCCGGGCCGAGCCGGGCTCCCGGCGAGCCCACCCGGCAGTTCGCAGCGGCGGGTGAGTGCCGGGCCGCGGGGGCGCGGGCAAAGTTTGCAAAAAAAAAAAAGAAAGAAAGAAAAAAAAGAAAGAAAGAAACGAGAAAGGAGGGCAATCATGCAAGGGGCCATGGGGTGCCCGGCTCTGGAGCGAGCGGGGTGGCTTATGGGGAAAGGGGGGGCTCGAGGCAACCCCCTTCCGGTCTGCTTCCCCTCTGCACGGCAGAGTACCCCCCCAACTTTGGGAGGGGAAGGGGCGCGTGGGGAGGGGGCGGAGCCGGGGCCTGGAGAGCCGGGGACTTTCCTGGGCCCGGGGCCCGGGCGGGGACCTTGATGATCCCAGGGGGAGCCGGTTGAAGCCGGAGACTGGGAGCGTGTGCTGGAGGTGGGGGGAGAGGCGGTGGAAGGATCGGAGTCCGGAGGTATTGGAAGCCAAGGGTGTTTTGGGATGCATACACACCTCAGGCGTGTGGGGAGGGCCAGGGACAGGTATGCGTCTAGTGTGTAAAAGTGGCGTCTGGGGAGCGGGCTGGGGAGAGTGGAGAGGGTGTGTTGTGTGTACAGCCCGAGGATGGGGCTGGAGGCCGTTGGACTGTATGGGGGGCCCGGGGACAGGCGCCGGCATCCCTCTCTCCCCACTCAGAATTACCCATTTGGGGGACTGTAGGGTCTGCGTTAGTGAGTTTTAAAGGGCTGGTAGGGGATCAGTGTGCATGATTCTTTGTTTTGGTGTGTGTGCTCCCCTTGACGTGCTGCATGTTCCTGCAGGTGGGCCCCTGGGTTTGGATGTATAGGTGTTTTTCTGCGTTTGAGTGTGTGTGCACCCAGGGAGCGGCTGACCGTGCATCTGCTGTGGGTTTGGATGTGTTTACGTGTATACTCTGGGGAAGGGTGTGAGTCTGCCTGTACTGGGAGAGGGATTAATGGGAAAGAGGTGCGTAGGTACCAAGGAAGGTGGGTGTGTAAGAGCAGAATGGGGCATATGTGGATAGGTGTGTGTGTACCTGTGCACTGGGAAGGGATGTGAGTGAATCTGTGTTCTCTTGTGTGTAACCTGTGTTGATGGGTATCAGTGTGTGCCTACCTTAGCTGGTGCCTGTGTTTCTGAGTGTGTGTTGGGGATACCTCTTGTCTCTGCAGGCAGGTTTTTCTGGCAGAACGCCCAAAGGGATGACTGTCAGGGATTCTAAGACTTCTTGGATGGCCCTGCCTGGGTTCAAGGGCAGTGCCTTGTGTATTTGAGACCTATGGGTGGGAGGGTTGTTTTAACAAGGGCCTGTTTTGGGAGATAGGTTTTTCTGTAAGAGAGTGTGTGTTGTGGGGAATAGGAACCATAGGTTCTGGTTGTAGTCCTAGAGGAGTTTGGGGGACTGGAGGAGTCAGGGAGAAGAATGAGAAGAACCTCCATCCCACCATCATGGACTCGTTCTGGTTCTTGGAGACTCTCCATGCTCGTTCTCCCAGCCTTGGTTCAACTCCCTTGGGCCACAGTTCTCTTGGAAAGCCTTAGAGTTTGCTGCTTCAGAGCCTTGTAGGACCTGCCCTGCCTCGAGGTTGCCAGCGTTCCCAAGGACATTGGGGATTTTGGAGTGGGATAGAGGCAAGAGGAGGAAGCACACCCGGAGGGGTCAGACCTGGGAGAGAACGGCTTGGGTTCCCCACCTATGGGGTTGGGAAGGTGGCAAGGAGGTGTTTCTTCAGGAGTTTCTGCAAGGGCGTCCATGTGGTTTATCGCATATCTTTGGTGAAGAGCATGATTGGGATGGAGCTATGGGATTGGGGCCAGGCTGAGCTTTCCAGAGGGCCAATGTCCCTGTGTCGGGGAAGAGGCAGGCACCCTTCATGGGTTACACTCATCATCATTGTAGTGTGGTGGGAAGTTGCCACTGTCTGAGAAGTAGATGTCCCTCTTCCCAGAGAAGCTGCAGCTACCTCCTTTCCCGTTTCTCTCTCATCCTTCTTCCTTTGGAGTGAAGGGCGGGGGCCGGCCATCTCCTTTTTTAGGTCACTAGTCTTGTTCCCCCATCGCAGACTTTCAGCTGTTTTCCTCTTCCTGACAGAGGCTGGGTTGGGCTACCCAGGTTAAGAGCTGAGGCTGAGATTGCACCTGCCCGTTGGGGTCCTTGGGCAAGTGGACTTGGAATGTTAGAGTCTCTCATGGGCATGTGGCATTGGGATGTCCTCTCTTTAGTCCTCAGGGCTACCTACCCTACCCAAGGCCTGGAGATAAGAGGAGTGGGCTTAGAAAATGTTGGGACCAGGAATGGGACAGAGTAAGATTTTATTTTAATGCATGATTCCCCCAAGCCCAACACCTGTCTGATAATTAGGGCTCCCGGGGCTAGCAAGGCATTTGCATCTAAGATGGTGTGCCCTGGCTTTCTGGGGTATCTTGTTTGTTCTGTACGATATATTATACTGGTGGGGGCTGTCTTCCAAGGAGGAGGAATTGTGGTCGGACAATAGGAAGTGCCGCTTCTGAAAGTACTTCCAGATTGGGAGCCGGTGGCCACATTGTCCTTCCTCACCCATTGTCTTGCTCCTGACTTCTGTTTCCTCTAGTTCTTCTGGGGCTGCCCTGTCGGGTGTGTCTCTTTCTGATTCTTCCAGGTCTGAGGAAGCATCCCCCCTTCTCTGGCCCTGGAGCTGGACAGTCTTATCTGCTCATCTGGATTCCAAGGGATCCTGCCAGTTAGTGGGGAGGGAACTTGGCTAATAGAAGCTTTGGGGTGAGAGGAAGCTATCTGGGCCTCTGGGCTTAGGGACTCCACTTTTCTCCTTTGCTTATTCTTCCCTCTGTAGCTCCCCACACTCTGAGGCCAAAGGGAGGAGTCGACAGAGTTGGCTAGAGTTAGTACTTAGTAGCAGTGTGACCTTGGGCAAGTTATTAAACCCCATTCCTCAGCTCTTAGGTGTCTTAAGACCCCATCCTCCAAGTCCAGACTGCATTCTTCTTCAAGGAATCCCTGGTCCCCAGCAGCCGCTTCCCTGGTTTCAGTTTGCTCTTAAATTCTGGTTTTGCCACTTCTTAATTCTGTAGCCTCAGACAGAACAGATAACTTTTTGAAGCCTCACCTGTAAGATGGAGTTAATAATAGGCCCTACCTCGTAGGTGTACAAGGATTACATGAAATAACACAGAGAGAGCACATTGCACGGTGCCTGGCTCACAGGAAGCCCTCCGTAGACATCAGCTGGAATGGCTGGTGGATGATCCTTGCGAGGGAGAGTGGTCTGGGAGTGGGATAGGAGAACTGGGTTTTGGTTCTGCTCTTCTCCTGGCTGGTCACACTCGACACCACCTCCTCTCTGCAGGCACGGGGTAAAGCACGGAGGATGGAGGGCGGATGAACCAGGCATTCATGGGATGGACGTGCAGAAACATGTCGATTTGCTGCCGCCCAGTGAGTGCAGCGTGGAGGTGTGCTGAGGAGGCCACTGGAGCAGAGAGGAGGATGGCTTGGCCCCGGCGTGGGGTGTCAGGGACGGATCCTGGAGAAGATGTGCCCTTAGCTGGATTTTTAAAAAAATTAAGGTGAAATTCACACCATGTAAAATAAGCTGTTTCAAAGTGAACAGTGGCATTTAGTACACTTGCAGCATTTAGTAAACCATCATCTCTGTCTAGTTCCAAAACATCTTCACTATCCTGAGAGGAAACCTGGATCCGTGATGCAGTGGCTCTCCGTTTCTCCTAACCCAGCCCTGACAACCCGCAAGCTGCATTCTGTCCCTATGGATTTACCTAGTCTGGATATTCAGAGATGGGATCATGCAAGGCGTGCCCTTTTGTATCTGGCTTCCCTCACTTAGCATCATGTTTTCAAGGCTAATGCACATCGGAGCACGTAGCATGTATCAGTACTTCATTCTCTTTCATGGCTGAATGACAGTCCCTTGTGTGGAGAGACCTCAGCTGGTTAAAGGTTGAGTTAGGCCGATGTGTGGGGGCGGGGGAGGGTGGCAAGAAGGAGCACGAGGTGTTTGGTATCACCAGATCCTGAAGCATGAAGAGGCGATTTGCCCTCAGTTTTTTGCCCGTAAAACCAAGTTAATCATCCTTTTCCTTCCTTGTCCCGTAGGGCTGGTGGGGGTGATAGTGTTAGGGGAGAGGAGAGGCTGGGATATTCTTGCCTCTTCTCAGGATCTGGGCTGGAGATGGGACTTTTCAAATCTTGCTTTCTCCCACTTCTTTCCGGGCAACTGCCTCCTATATGCATCCACCCCCTCCCTGTGAGTAGCTATTCCTTATTGACTTGGCATCAATTTCCTTTTTCTCTGGTGACCTGAGATTTCTCCTACCCTGTACAGGTGGGTAGTCCTGTGCATAATGAGATTTTGGCAGCAGAGGTGAAGGGAAGGCCTGAGAGTAAATCCTACTCACACTCCGCCCCGCAGCAGCCCTCCCTTCTTGATCCCATCTCTTGGTGATGTGATTTGGGCAGCCCTGGTCACCTACTCTTTTGTGATCTGGGTAGAACTGTGCTGGGTCAGGGAGAATCTCTCCTCCCTTGCCTGTACACGGCCAGGTGCAGAGTGGGAGGCAGAGGCCCTGTATGGCAGGGCCCTTTGGAAATGAGGTGTTGTGTGCTTGTCTGATGCCCCTGGCAGAATTGGTAATTACAGACATACAGACATGACAGCTGGGAACTGGTTAGGGAGAAGCAAGCTCAGAATCGGCAGAGCTGAGGATATCCTGGTAATCAGGGTGGGGCAGTGAGAGGGGGAGTGGGAAGAAGCTGAGGGCTGGGTGGGGTGGGAGGCTTGGGACCCCTTCTCCTGATAGGCCACACACAACCAGGCCTAATGGAGAGTGGGAGCCCAGGCCAGCCTCACTGTCTGTGAGCAAGGAGGGAGGGAGGAGAGAGAGAGGGGATCCAGGAGCCCCTGAAGAAAGAAGGTTTGGGCTGCTCCATCAGGCAGTGGCTGGATGTGGTCTAAGGAGGGGCCAACCATGCACCTAAACGTGATTCCATCTTATTTTGGGATCTGTCTTCTTAGAAAGAGGCTATGGGAGCAGGA